CAATTGATGTGTGTATGGATTGGGATAACAGTTGTATGAGCCCCTAATAAAATGTTAAAATAAAAAAAAAGGAAAAGAAAAAAAAATTATTTTTCCTTATACCTTACCATTTACAAATATTTTACCACAATTTATTTCCTATTCTTTAAAAAAGAAGTCAGTAACTCTATCCTCCCTTCTACTTGACACTTCTGTTCGGAAGTGGCTTTTGTCCTGGTTCAAGTTTGGCCTGTCAGTGCATTCCAGTCAGGCCTTTTCCTGGGAGCACAGAGGGTATTGGAGCCCTCAGGAAGATAGTCATGCTCTCCTTGAGTAGTGCGGGGAGTGCCCACGGGCACGGAGTCGATGATGACTCCTAGCGACCCTCTAGCTAGATGCCACTCAGAAGGCCCTGTGAGAGAGTCTAAGAAATTTAGAAACTGATAGTCTCATGAGATAAGAGCCACACATGAAAGACTTCCAACTATTTCATATTTTGAATGACGATAATACTGATAAAAGAACTTATCAAAGAGAACTGTAAAAATGATTGGGAATGATTAAGTGCTAGCATGGAATAAAATCAAGTTTGAGCTGAAGCCAGAGACATGCTGGTACAGACTAAGAAAAAGTTACTACTTTCTACCAACAGGGTAGGCATTAGTAAATCTGACCTACAATTTTTAAGAAATCAAATTGAAGATTCCACCACAAAAATACGTCTGACTTCTTTACTTACCTAAACAGACTCCTTTTCTCACATGCTTTCATTAAAGCTACAAGGATTTTGGTGTTTTAGCAGAATAGCCATTAGAGAGAGTGTCTGGCAAAAGGCTAGCACGTGCTTTGTTTCTGGAGGGGGAGTGGTCTCTCAAGCATCGAAGGGCCGGTGGCAGTTAGCTCACTACCATCCAGTGTCGGCTTCCTCTTACTGCCGTTGTAGCAATACCCCAAGTGATGGCTTCCTAACAGAAGGTATTGGCCCACAACGCCGGGAGTAAACATATAAATGGTGGTCTCAGTCATGTCTTCTCTTTCTCTGAGCACCATCCCTGATTTCTAGTGACTTCTAGAAACTTCTCATTCCTTTGCTTGTAGATGGGTCCTCTTGATGGGTTTCCTTCTCTCTGTGCCCCTCAGTCAGTTTTGTTCTGGTTTCTCAGAAGTGATTTGGTGTTAGGACCGATTGATTAAATGAATGGATGTTATAGGAATATTTTATATTAATTAAAACAGGTATTGGGCTGTACATTAAGAATTGACAAAATTCCGTCTTAAATATTTCATGTTAAAAATTCCATCTTTCCTTAAAGATAATAGGTGGAGCATAGCAACCTCCATTATTTCTACCACTTGTAGGATAAAACATGCAAAATGTAATTTTTGAAATTTCATTACTCTTTGATTGAAAGTGGAAATTTCATAATGCCTCAGTAAAATAACATTTTATTATACATGAAAGCTAGTAAATGTTTAAAATTTAGTTGATTTCAGACTAATGCTTGACCCTATAAAGAGTTTCCAAGACTGTAAATCTTTAAGGAAGCAGACAACCTCATCCTTCTCCTTCAGAGCATCTGGTGAATTTGAACTAACCCACAGCACCAGATTGACCATAAAGGTGAATTAGAAGGTGTACTTGATTGAAAGATGTTGGAATGAGAAGACTAGACAGTTGGAGATCAGCAGAGAACAAAAGGGTATAGGCACTAGCTAGCAGAGCAAGAAAACATCTCTGAAATTCTTATCCAACCATCATTCCCCCTATAGTTTTATTACAAAGCATGCCTGTGTTTCATCAGGTATGATGTGGTGATCTGTTACCTTTCTCTGCACCTGTAAGGGCCAACTCTTAGAATTCTGCCTTGCTGGTTCCCTTCTTCGTGACGCCACAAAACTGTGCAAATTTACCTACCTTACTCGTCTTGTGGGCTTTTCTAGAATATGCCACTCAGTTTTCTTGGTTTTTTTGCTGTTTGACTTTGCTGGTATCTACTTATAGTGCCACTCACTTCAGTACTAATCCCTAGGGGGAGCAGTAGAATACCCGTAGATCCATCCTAAGGGCACATAGTCAATAGTTGAAATTTAATGGATTCAGAATAGTAGCACAATTACAAACATGCTGAAGTAAACATATAACTGTGCAGGTAAAACTGAAGGGCCTGTCCCACAGTCCCCAGACTGACCATGGCAAAGTAACAGAGCATCAAAGGAATCCCCCCTCCTTTGGGCTATGAGGATGCGGGCCTAAGAGAGCCTGTAATCCGGGAAGGCTGTTGAAACTCTGAAGGGAGAGAGAATTGCAATGATCAAGCCTCAACACCAGGGCAGAGAGATTCAAATCTGTGACACTCCCAGTTAAAATGCTCCCCAGCACAAAGCCTAGCCTTCTAAAAGCCAAACATCTGGATTTCTTGAATAATATAGCTTATATGGAATAAAAGTGAGGGATTTTGTTTGATTGTTTGCCTATTTGTTTTTTCATTATTGGTGTGATAAAGCAATATTACCAGCCAACCTCAACCTTTCTCAGCATGAGACCTTGCTAAGGCTTATCTCACAGTGATGCTGCAGGCCAGGGAGCTTGGTGTTTTGAAAGGCTTCTCTAAGGTGCCCTGGGAGCTCAGCCGTTAAAGTGCTTGACTGCCAGCAGAAGACCAGCATTATTCTTAACCCACTTGCCACCCTATCGGAGAACGATAGCTGCCCTTATAAAGACGACAGCTTTGGAAACCCTGTGGGAGAGTTCTACTCTGTCCCGTACGGTTGCTATTTGTCGTTATAGATGCCATGTAGTGAGTGTTTTGTGTTGCTTGTTGTAAGGTTGTCTAGAGGCGCCCTGGTGATGCAATGCTTAAGCATTGCACTGCCTCCAGCCTCTCTGTAGAACACTGTGGGCGTTGACAGACTTGAGAGCCCTGCGGGACAGTTCTCCTGTATTCTGCTATAGCAGTGGTTCTCAATCTGTGGGTCGTGACCCCGTTGGGGGTCACGCGACCCTTTCACAGGGGTTGCCCGATTCCTAACAGTAGCAAAATGACAGTTATGAAGTAGCAATGAAATTAATTTTATGGTTGGGGGTCACCACCACATGAGGAACTGTATGAAAGGGTCGCGACATTAGGAAGGTTGAGAGCCACTGCTCTACAGGGTTGCTTTGCGGGGAATCAGTTCACTTTGAGCAGAGAAAACGAGAATGGCTTCTCGGCAGCATTGGACCTATGCTTGCTCTCCGTAGCCTTGCAAGCCCTCTGATAGTAATGACCATGTAATAGCCGCATGTGCTGCACGCTGGCGGGCTTCTTTTTGTTCACACGTGAGACCTTCATTCCTGAGAAACTCCCTTCATTCCTGAGAAACTCCCTCAACAAAACTTTTGTTCCCCTTCCGTAAATGGTCAAAAATGGGAAGCCCAGGGTCTGGTGACATATATTGTCCTCTATTACATAATGACTTCATACCTAGCCTCTTTAAAATCCTTCTGAATCTAAAACTAGTGTCATTGCTCAAATGTACGGATTTCTCATTACATACAAAAATGTTGGGCCCTTTCAGCTTTTCACTGAGTCGTGGAATTATTAAGAATTGTATGCCTTACGATAACATAATTGTAATGGCTTTAAACCCATGTTTAAGCAAATAGGTAAAGTGGTTTTCCTATAGCTTGTGATTAAGTTTTGGAATTAAAATTTCCTGGATGGATTATTTTTTCTTTTTCAGGACAAAACAAGTGAGCGCTTCCTGATGTCTGAGTTCCCTGTTTATTTGAAATTTTTTTCTTCTATTTTCAGCTTTCTGAGAAGTATGGGGTCCATGTTTGTGGAGAAGGTGGAGAATATGAAACATTCACTTTGGATTGCCCTCTATTTAAGAAGAAAATAATTGTGTAAGATATCATTTAATTCTTCCCGTTCCTTAAAAGTTAAGTGATGGAAGCCACTTAACATGAAGCTTTAGGCAACTTTTGTTGGGAGAAATAGAACATGCCCTCTAAGTTCACAAACACTCAGTTTGTTTAACACGGGTGAAGTCGTCCGAATACCTAACTCAATACCTGGCAAGACAAGGCCTTCGGAGACGACTGTACACTTTTTAGACATTGCACTTTCTTTTACTCGCTGATTATGGCCTGCAGTAAAACTGGGACTTACGTACTGACACTTTTATCCTTTCATGAAGTGTGAATTGCTTGTGTTATTTATTTTGCATTACAGCTACATTTGATAAACTGCCACCTAAGTAGGCTGTGGGGTCCACTAACTCTATCCTCTTTTTCCTTTTTCTTAATCTTAACCACTTAGAATCCTAATGCTAAAACATTCTCTTCAATTATTTGTCGTTATTTTTTATACATCAACTTTGTTCTCAGATATATTCAGTTTATGGTGAGTGGTGTCATTTTTTTTGCCACAATTTGTTAAAATTAATGTTAAAGAAAAGCAGGAAATTTCCTCAATTTTGTTACATTCCTTCACATGATTTAATTTATGTTGCTCTTGTATGTTGAGAGAGTGCTTTATCTGCTTTTCCCAAGCTTTTATGCTTTTTGGAAAAGATTCTCAGAATTATGCTTGATTTCAAAAACTACATCTGATGAAAAAGGTTAGAATTTTATATCGAATGGACAGCTTCTCTATTGTAACACTAAGAGCCATACTTCTCTATACAGATTGCTAATGAGAGAAGGGATGACATAAGAAATGTCAAGCCATTCTTAGATGGATTTTTCTAAAATATACATTTATCTAGTGAAAATAATCGTCATTTTTCTTATCATATTACACTGTTCACCAACATCTATCTCCTTCATGTCCTTCTCAGTTTCTTACCATCAATAACAATCTTATCATAGTAATGCATTTGGCAAATTGTTATCAAGTACCTATTGTGATTGTCCTCAAAGAATTCTATTGAGCATCACCGTAGACAGAGGTAGTTCCTGCTTTCAAAGGGGAGGGAGGGGAACCCATCTGTATATCATTATGTTCATTGTTTGATACTGGTAATTGCTGTATAAGGTGATAAATAATAAAAGTCATAATGACAAGTTTGTAGCTGGCAAGTCATAATTCTGGCCCAGATAATTCCAAAATAATTCACAAATGAAGTCCATGAGTTGTCTAAAAAATAATATTGTCTGATTATCCAAGAAACAACTCACATGGGAACATCTAGGGTGGCTGCAAAAGCAGATGCCTACACTTTACGGTGGGTAATATAAACGTCTTTATTTGCCACAAGACAATTAAAAGTTTTTTGTTCATTTTTCTGAAAAGAGAAATTGGGCCAAATAAACTGGGGAACCTCCGATCTAGTGAGTGGGTTATTAAAAGACTGTAAATACACATACAAGAGATAATGACCATTGTCTGAATATGTTAGGGAAAGCGTCACAGAGTGCCCGTTAGGATACCATAGGGGAAGAAGGAGCCCTGGCCGCACAGTGGTTAGAGCACTTGCCTGCTACCAGGAGGATTGCAGTGTGGACCCACCACTCACTCCACCGGAGAAAGAAGTAACAGCCTGCTTCCATAATGATTGCAACTTTGGAAACCCTCTGAGACAGAATCAGCTCGATGACAATGGGTGTGGTTTTTGTTTTATTTCGTTTGGTTTTTAATGAGGACATGTGTGAGTCCATGGGGGCTATATGTAAGCATTTGGTGCAGACAGGTTCATGTGTTTGTGCAAGAGGGTGAAACAATACCTCAGCCCCAACTTGGCAAAGTGATCTTCGAGTAGAGAGGTAGGAACAAGCATCATGGTTAATTTCATAGGATCATGACAATTCATTTTTCTTTTTTTAAATCATTTTATTGGGGGCTTGTACAACTCTTATCACAATCCACACATCCATCCATTGTGTCAAGCACTTTTGTATATTTGTTGCCATTATCCTTTTTAAGACATTTTCTTTCTACTTGAGCCCTTGGTATCAGCTTCTCATTTTCCCCTCCCTCAATAACCCTTGATAATTTATAAATTATTATTTTTTCATGTCTTACACTGACCAGTGTCTCCCTTCACCCACTTTTCCATTGCCCATCCCCCTGGGAAAGGGTTATAGGTAGATCATTGTGATCAGTTCCCATTATCTCCCCCCACTTCCCCCTTACCCTCCTGGTATGCCTACTCTCAATATTGGTCCTGAGGGATTTATCTGTCCATGTTTCCAGCTCTTATCTGTACCCATGTACATGCTCTGGTCTAGCCAGATTTGTAAGGTAGAATTGGGGTCATGATAATGGGAGGAGGAAGTATTAAATAACTAGAGGAAAGTTGTATGTTTTATGGGTGCTTTACTGCACCCTGACTGGTTCGTCTCCCCCACCCCACCCCACATCCTTCTATAAGGGGATGTCCAGTTGCCTACAGATGGACTTTCGGTCTCCACTCTGCACTCCCTCTCATTCACAATGATATGTTTTTTTGTTCTGCATCTTTGATGTCTGATACCTGATCCTATCAATACCTTGTGATCACACGGGCTGGTGTGCTTCTTCCATGTGGACTTTGTTGCTTCTCAGCTAAATGGATGCTTGTTTATATTCAAGCCTTTAAGGTTCCAGATGCTATATCTCTTGATAGCTGGGCACCATCCGCTTTCTTCACATTTGCTTATGCACCCGCTTTGCCTTCAGCGATCGTGTCCAGAAGGTGAGCATCATGGAATGCCAGGTTAATAGAACAAAATGTTCTTGCTTTGAGGGAGTGCTTGAGTAGAGATCCAATGTCCATCTGCTACCTTAATACTAAACCTATAAATATATGTACATAGATCTATTTCCTCGTCATATATAAATATATTTACATATCTACATGTCTGTATTTAGACCTCTATAAATGCCCTTTGCCTCCTAGTTCTTTCCTCTATTTCCTTTTTCTTTCCTCTTGTCCCACTATGATGTTCAGCCTTCATTTGGGTTTCAGTAATTCCTCTTGGTTACATTGCCCTTGATCAAGCCCTACCAGACCTCCTACACCCTCCTCACCATCAATTTTAGATCACTTGTTGTTCCCTTGTCCCTGGATTTGTTATCCCCCACTTCCTTTCCCTCACCTCCCCCTCTCCCATGACCCCCACCCCAAACTATCTGTCTCGTTGTTTTCTCCTCCAGATTGATTATCCAGCCTATCTTATCTAGACAGACATGCAAAGATAATAATATGTACAAAAACATGACAGAGCAAAACAAAGCAATAAAAGAAAATAAAACAACAAAAACAATGACATAAAAAAGAATAACCTATAAATAGTTCAAGGTTTATTTGTTGACCTTTAGGAGTGTTTTCTTGTCAAGTCTAATGGGGTGGCATGCCCTGGCCCCAAAGTCTATTTTTGGTATTCCCTGGGGACTTCATTGCTCTCCTCCCCTTGATGTTCTGTTGCATGCCCTTAGTGTTTTGCCTCAGTGTGGTGGGGTCAAATGGGGCACAATTCCCGCACTTTGTCCAGTGTTGTCCCCCATCGTATCTCATAGGGGGCCAGCCCTATGGTCCTCTGTGTGCATTGGCTGCTCTAAGCAGGAATATCATCCTCAGGGCTTGGTGGGCCAGGATGTGCTCCACTCTCTCTTCCTCCCCCTTCATTTGCTCTTGTGTGCTTTGATCAGACATGTCCCTCCCCCTGGGCTGTAGCTTCAGTGGTGTCCTCTGAAGTGAATTCTTCTGGGTGGAGGGTAGGCTGTCCACATAGTTGGGATTGGGGCCGGCCTCTCAGACTTCTCTATTGGTTCTCTGCTTCATGCAGTATGTTGCATTCAAATCTTGGAGGGGTTTTTTGTGTTTTTTTAAAATGAGGGCTAGGGCCTGCCCTGACACTTCAGGCTCGGGCATCAGGAAAAGAGGCAGTGGCCTACCCAACTGCTCTTACACCTCCTGTTTCCACTAATGCAGAGTGAGAAGGAGCAGAGCCAAGCTTTTAGCTGTGGAGACCCTTCTGCGTTATGAGTGTTACAGAGCAAGGCAGCCAAATGGAAAAGATTGTCACTGTGGCAGAGTTGTTCATAATCATCTGGATTAATCTCTGGATAGTTGAATAGATCCTGTCTCTGAGTTCCAGGGATAGAGAACTCCATGAAGCAAATGGAGCCATGCAGTAGGCAAAAGTTGTTTCTGGTGCTGGTTTATGGAAGAGAAATCCAACACTGCTATCAAGCAAATTCCTACTCATAGGGGCCTTGTAGAGCAGAGTAGAACTGCCCCTGTGAGTCTTCAATGCTGTAAATCTTTACAGGAGCATAAAGCCTCGTCTTTCTCCCATGGAATAGCTGCTGGGTTCAAATCGCGGATCTTGCAGTTACCAGCCCAATGCACAATCCACTCACTGTGCCACTAGGGCTCTTTATGGAAGAGAAAAGAAGTGTAATTGTAGCATTATTCCGAGTCTAGAAACCATGAAATTGAGATCTAGTCTCCCTCCGTTGACTCTGACTTGTACAAGTGACTGAAGTGATGGTAGTCAATTAACTATTAGGGAATTAATAAAATCATAAAAATTACATGCTCCTTCATCTGCTCCTCAAAACATTGTATATTTTCTCTGGATCACAATCTCAGTCCAGAATGCAGTTCTTATGTCAATTGAGCCATTTGCCTGCCATCCTCCTTCTGTTTCCAGTGGTCACAGTGTCATGAGAAGGGAGGGCTTGTGACATTTTACTGCGGGAGCACTGATTGGGGTTAATTATCGTTTTGGTGCACTCCATTGTCAAGGATATCCAACCCAAGTTGCTTAGTTTAGGCATAATTAAGGATCAGGGTCAGTTTCCAAGGTGGGGTCAGAAACAGAGAGATTCAAATGTGGTGTAAAAGTGAGGTCTTGAACAGCAATTAAGATTTGATTCTGATTGTTAAGATAGGAGCAGAGCTGGTCACTAAAAGACATGGAGAAATACGATTAGGACTAAACAACCAGGCAGGGATCGGGCCAGAGGGACAGGTAAGTGGGCCTCCTCCTCCACACTCGCTTCCTCACCCTCATGGTGTCTGGAGGCATATTTTTGCTACCTCACAGGAACCTGTGAAGTCAGGGTCCATCTTTCCATAAGGGTTATCTTTAATGGTTCTATATGTTATTTCATAACTGCTTTCCATTTAAGCTCAGAGACGTTATTTTTCCTGAGGATTAACAAAGGGCTAATTTGATAATACAAGTTCAGAAAGGACGTTTGTTTAATCAAGCATGATTTCTCTATCTTAGATCTTTCCAAGAGAAAATAGATTTTGCTCATGAAAAGTTAACATTTCAGAACTAAGTACTGTATTTTGAAATATCTTCTATTTCCACTAATTAACTTTGCATTACAAACTGGACTCCACTTTTTTACAACAGTGACAAAAATGTATTTGTTGTGTTACCACTGTTAAAATGCCCACATTATATTAATGTAAATAATGCAACTAATTCCTGAACCATTTAAGTGATACCCAGGACTTCTGCTTTTACAAATATGGCTGAAATGCAAAACATTAATGCTTTCTTAATAAACAACATTAAAAAATAACTAGTTTTTAGAACATCACCCATATTGTTAGTTATTCACATCTGCTTTCCAGGATATCTTTGATAAAAGTTGAGTTAATTTACATGTATCCAAATGGTGTCAGCAAGCAGTTCATACCACTTTATGTGAATATGGTAATTGCTATGTCAAATAATCACCTTTTTAAAATCATTTTATTGGGGGCTTGTACAACTCATCACAATCCATACATTCATCCATTTTGTCAAGCACATTTGTACATTTGTTGCCCTTATCATTCTCAAAACATTTGCTTTCTACTTGAGCCCTTGGTATCAGCTCCTCATTTTCCCCTCCCTCCCTGCTCCCCCATCCCCCCATGAACCCTTGATAATTTATAAATTATTATTTTGTCATATGTTACACTGTCCGATGTCTCCCTTCACCCACTTTTCTGTTTTCCATCCCCCAGGGAGGAGGTTATATGTAGATCCTTGTAATCAGTTCCCCCTTTGCCCCTCCCCTTCCCTCCACCCTCTCAGTATCGCTACTCTCACCACTGGTCCTGAGGGGATCATCTGTCCTGGATTCCCTGTGTTTTCAGTTCCTATCTGTACCAGTGTACATCCTCCGGTTCAGCCGGATTTGTAAGGTAGAATTGGAATCATGATAGTGGCGAGGAGGAAGAATTCAAGAACTAGAGGAAAGTTTTGTGTTTCATCGTTGCTACACTGCACCCTGACTGGCTCGTCTCCTCCCCGCAGCCCTTCTGCAAGGGACAGATAATGACTTTTAGTAGCAATGATATTATTGTGTGAAGAGTTCATCCAGAGCTGGATGCCATCACCAGTACTGCTTTTGGGAGGGATAATTGAGATTTTGTATAAATCACAGGGTGAATTACTTCTTGAAAATGAAAAGAATAATGATGATAAAGCACTATTGTTTAATGTTTATCCCATAGTACACAACTTTGTTAAAGTGAAATTGAAAAGAAGTTTAAATCTCAAAATGTCTAGAAGAGTTTTGAGTGAACCTGAAAGTGTCCTTATCAAGGAAAAAGCCACCAAACTTCTTTTTTTTTTTTTTAAGTTTTATGTACCTAATCCTTCTTTAAATTCAGTATAGGGTTCTTAAAGATCGATATCAATGAAAATAAATACAAAATTAGGATTGTTGGTCTCTTCTAGTTGGTAGCAGGGATTAATTTGCCACAATATATATAGCAAGTAAATCCACTCTAATTGTTTTTCATTTCAGGGATTCGTCTGAAGTAGTCATGCATTCAGCTGATGCCTTTGCACCTGTAGCATATCTGCGCTTTTTAGAAATGCACTTGGAGGATAAGGCAAGTAACCCTAGAATCCACAGTGATTTCATTAGAAATTGAGTATGTACCTCGACTCTGTACATAAAATTCTAGTAGTGGTAGTAAAAATTTCTCAGATCCTCAGTAAATAAGAATTTTGCAGATTTTTATCATTTCCAGAGCACTATAGGAACAAGAGATAATACAGTTCTTAAGATGTTGCACTTGGGAATGGAAATCAAGCAGTGAAAAGACAGAACATTATGTAGACAAATACTAAATTGCCTAGGAAGCTAAGAGTAAGGTTTATTGTGTATACGCATTAAGAGAAAGATTTGGGGATGAATTGGATCTTCTTTGCAAAAAGTCTGAGAAGGGAGCAAAAGAAACAAAAGCTTTTCAAAACTATATCTGGGGGAAAGCAAAGCAATACTTTGAAGATATCTAGGGGGAATCGGAAGTGAAAAATGGAAAATGTAGGAGAAATATGTAAGCTTTCTGTTAAGTCCATTAATTGGCAAGAGGCAGCAGAATATCGCTTAAAGGTGTCTGTGGACTATGTACAGATAGGGATTAGATTAGATTACATCAAAAGATCTGATTCTTGACAAATTTGCCTTATATTTATCACCTGGAATGGTTAGCTGAAATTATGTGAGGCAATGAGAGTAGTGACAGAAAAAAGATTGCAGGAAACCCTTTGCATCTTTCATATTAAATCACCGAACTTCAAGGCACACCCATCGTCATGTGGTAGAGATGTGTGTGTATATATATATACACATATGTATATATATACATATATATACACATACATACCGTTTACCTGAATTGCTCACTATTCACCTTCTTGTTTTGATTTTTCATTGATCATCATAGTCCAACTGTCCTACTGTAGAAAAGAATGTTACTTCCTCAAGGTGAGACATTTACTGCTACTGAATAAATATGAGCACATTTTTCTTTCTTTTTCCTTATAGGGGTTACCGGTGGCTGACAACAATCGAACATCTAATTTGATATATAATTCTTGAAAAGCATGTTGCACGTAGTTTATTAAATTATAATTCATTAAGATATTCTGTTGGAAAACACATTATTACATTTTATCAATCATTTTGATCAGATATTTCTTAAGCGCACTTTTTGCTTGTTAGGGATGTAGTATTTGCAGGGATGTAGTACCATCAGAAGTGATTAATGGAGACAGTGATTCGCTGGGGAAATGTGAGTGCCTGGCTCTTTAATGCTGCCAGCTTCCTCAGGATCACTCTTCCTCTGTCTTTTGTTGATGCCCCCTTTTCATCTATGCCATATATACATTGTGATATATGCGGGCAGGTCAGAAAGCACTGCTACAAAATCATAGAAATGTTTGTTAAGCCAAACTGTCAAAATGGGACGCTTTTGTTTCTCATCATATCCCCCATCCCGAGATGTATGTACTTCTGAAAGCTGGGTTTCCATCACTGCGCCCCTCCCCCAAAGAAGTCTGCCCTCTGAGATTTACACCACATCAAAACAGCAGTTTCGGTATCCTCAAGGGACCCAAACCATGTTCCTTTTAAATGTTGGTCTTGTTTTGTTTGAGGTTTTAAAAACAGGGGAAAAAATCTGAAGGATCAGGGCTGACAGGTGAATGGGGTAAGGTTAGCCACCAAAGTTCTCATAGGGCAGCCCTTGCTGTCCTGGAAGAATATGCAAAGGCATTGTCGTGATTAAAACAAAACAAAGCAAAAAACTGCTGTGCACAGTGTCCTGGCCTTTTGCTCATCAAAGCCATTTCCCATTTTCTTTACAAGTCTTCTTCCTAAGCTCCTGTGATTGTGTTGTGTCCCTTGAGAAAATGTATCAAGATTCTCTCTTTGCAACCCCAAAGCACAGTCTCCGTAACCTTCGGAGCTGACCCCTCTGCCCAGCAGATCCCTCAATTTCAATTGGGCCTTTTGGAGAGCGCTCTACGGAAACGAAGAGACGTGCATTGCTCAGTGAACTTGTCTGCAGCTATCCACTGACTGCAGAGGGCTATTGAAACATCCTGTGGGCAACACACCTAGGTGTGTATGTAATATAACCCTAGAGCCGGTACTGTTTCGTTTAGAGAACTTCATGTATAATGTGTGCGTTATAACATAAGGGTTTTGTGGTTTTTAACCTTATCACTGGCACTCATTTATATAACATGTTATTACTTCCATTACAGTGGTTTCTTTTTGCCTTTCTGCTCCCATCTCTACCACTACTGTCACGATGCAAAGGCATTTGAAAATGAGGAGGAAAAGACAGTCACTTTACTGAGTCAGTCAGGCTTATTCTACTACAGCGACGTCTTTTTTGTTTTGAATATATTTGTGACCAAAGAGATTCAACAGATTCGGCCCATCATGGGAAGAATCTTTGACCCTGCCTGGTGACTTTCTATCTGGTAACAAGGGCTCTTTTTCAGTCCTACCTGTGCTATGTTAACTTCAGTGTTGTTCACTTAAACCGGGCTAAATGTGACATAACATAGAAATACGTTTGTAGCAAAAAGCCTGTGAGGCAGCAATTTTACTGTAGCAACTAGAAATCTACATCTTGTTGGTGTGGATTTGAAAGAAAATAGGAAGAGTTGCTTTCCCAGAAATCCTATTACATCTTAAGGACATAGAGTAACCACCATGTCCATCCTTAGATCAGTCACAGGGTCCAAGGAAACATCTGGCCAAGTGACCTCCGCGCCTATCCAGGTTGTCAAGAGAGTGGTTTTCTATAAAGCAAAAACATAGTTTGGTTACCAAAAGAAAAGTGAGTCAACACTGTCAAAACCAACAGACAGTCACCCACAAAATCACATTGAAACACAGATTAACAACCCTCCCACTACCAGTGATGTTCACACTGAAGAACTGAACACTCCTATGTAATCTACATCTGTTCCTCAGCCCCTTTAGTTTCCACTCGCTCTATAACATCTTCAGTCCAACACGTTCTCTGTTAACTTTGGTGAAATTCTATTGGTTTTCTCGGTCCTCTTACTCTTTCATCAATTTCTTTGGCACTATGGCCACTGTCTCCTGGAAGTTTCCTCTGTCATGCTTGTATAGCACTGCTTTACTTGGACTCTTTTCTAGTTCTCCCAAGGTTGCGTCTCTCCTTTTTAGTAGCTTCTCTTCTCAAGGTGTATTGTTAGTGGTTTTTTTCCCTCCAATATTTTCTCTTTCCTGAGTTTCATTTGTTCCCACAAATTTAGTTACCATCTCTATGCAAGTGATTCACCAATCACTCTCTTTCTAGTATTTCTGTGTTTTCAAAAATCCCCAATGATGACAATTCTGCATTCGCACTAAGGGCCAAGAAATTGAAGAAAATACCTGGAGCCATTCTCTGAATTATGAATTTATTGAGATTTATAAAGAGGGCTAGCAGCCTGGTCAGAGATAAGGATTGCTCCCTCCCAGGGAGGAGGGGGGATAAAAGAACACCGAAGACAGTTTATATAGGGACACAACAAACAGACTGCAGCCAAGAAGTGGCACGACCATAGCCTACGTTCCTGCCCACATTCCAGAAGGAGTGGTCATCTGGGTGCAGCTGTTCCCCTGCTACCTTGGAAACACCCGAAGTGTTGGCCATAGGGCCAGCACATCTGCCAGATGGGACCACTTCAGGACAGTCCTCAAGCCCTCTGCAGTGGCCTAGCAAGACTGCAACCATGTTAGGGCATGTACAAGAGGTCTCCTACAGTCTAGTACCTCTTCTTTCTCCTTACCTCTACAGGCTTACTTCTGATTGCCTGTTTGACACAAAGGCCAGTATGTATTATTTTCTATATGTACAAACCTTGAACTCATTTGTCCTTCCAAGTAAGTTTTCCCTTGTTGTCAGCACAATTATTTCCCCACTAATTAACTCAGGCACTGAGTATTTGCATTGTCTAGTAGCTTCCTCTCAATTCCCATCAACATTCAATTGGTTACCAAGTCATCACGTTCTAGCTCTAAATGTCTCCTGCCTCATTCTGTACGTATGCTCCCCCCTCTAACATTCGCGTTAGAATGTCAGGCAAGACTAGCTTTTTTAAGTGGACTCTTGGCTTTCATTCTCTCTATGGGATTCCATTGCCATATTAATGTGCCCTTTTGGTTTTCAACTCCCCTACAAAAACTCACAACTCTAAAGAAAGAAAAGGCAGCAGGGCTTAACTTACTGTACTTTTTTACTCTTGTTCCAACCACTCCCCTGCATGTACCCTTTGCTCCAGTACCACGGAACAATTGAATACTCCCTCACTGTCACCTCGGCTACTCCATTCTTGTGCTTTCGCTTACTGTTTTCTCTGCCTTTCTTTTCCCTATCTGCTCATGATGCAAGATTAGATCAGCTACTCATGCCTTTAACCACATACAAATTCTCTCTTGTGACCACCGAGATTTTTCTCCTTTATATTGGAGTTATTTGAGGGCCTTTCTTATGATTTCTACTAAGTTGTAAATGTCTTGCACATTTGGGACCGTTACTTTTCCATCCTCATCCCCTTTGTAAGAGCTGCTCACTCTATAATGAAATTTTAAAAATCTAACTGATTGTTATCCTCCTTTATTTTTTGTCTTTGTATTAGTCTAAGTACTTCAGAGAAACAAAAGCAACTCAAGTATAAGACAGTTTTATGTAAAGAAAGTGTGCATTACGAAAACATCCCAACCCAATGCTGCCCAAGCCCACAAGTCCAACATTAACCCATTAACCCAACACCAGTCCACAACGTCCTCCACCTCACAAAACAGAGGCAATGATGCCGACTGCAGGAGGAAAGCTGAGTCAGTGAATGAATAAGCATCTCAGCACTAGCAGGGGTCTCCACACGGCTGCTCCAGCACCCAGGGCTGCATCGGGATAGGTCCATGTGGCTTCTCCTTGGGGATGTCTTGTAGGAAGTCAATCTTGCAAGCTGAAGCAGGGAACTGCTAAGGCAGCTGCACCCTGGTGTGACCATCACAAAGCAAGAGACCCAGAACTAGAAAGGCGAGGCTTAACCACCCATTTATCCCTCAGCCTTTCAATTAGCCCCACATGTGATTATCGGCCAGGTTGGCACAATTAACTAACTCAGTCTTATAAACTCTTAATTGGCATGTGCACCTATTTCATTTTACATATCACTTAATGACAGTTACTTTACTTATTTGTATCTCGTTAATGGAAAATGCTTCAAGAAAATTAGGATGTAAAATCTAGCTTTTAGAGTAGTTATTTGTTTAATTTTATATTATTACTAAGATCTGTTACTTTATATATAACAACCCTTAAGCTTTGTTTAATAGTTGATCTATTTGCATTTTACCTTTAAGTAAAATTTTAAATACTATGTGAATTTAAAACTGATAGCAACTAAACATGGAATCCCAAACAAAAGAGCTAAATAATAAAAAGCTCTGGGTTAAAAATGGGACAATGTATTAAAATTTCTTTGGGGTCCTGGCCTTATTGCTTACGGCAACCTTGATGCTAAAATATACCATATATCACTACAGTGACAAGCTTGAGAAAATGAAAAATACAAAGGTTTACATAAATCAATCTAAAGATCATATTAAAGTGCATAACCTTTTACAGAAGGATCAGATTGTTACTCTTAACTATTCACAAGCTATTCTTCCATATGTAGTTATTTCGGATCTTCAAGCAGCTTTATGAGAAATAGTAATTCAAATTAATTGGTGACAAAGCCTTGTATTTTTAATAAGACAGAGTTCACAGAAATTTAACCCTAATTTTACTGATGTACTGTGCCAACACTTAGTCCTTATTGTTGTTTTTATTAAAATAATTTCATAAGAAAATTATATCTTTATGTAATTATAAAGGATTACATTCCTAAAAGTTGCAATTTTTTTAATGACCTTACCAATCTCAAAGTTCATTCTTTGTTCTTTCTGACTTTTTTTTAAACAAACAGTTCTATTGAAACATAATCCAAATTCTTTCTGGTTATTTTGCTTTATTTCAGAAATAGCAAATCTTTTGGAAACTTTCTCATCTTAAACTTACCCTGTATTTTTTATTTATCTCTCCACTCCTACAAAAATTACCTTGTTGT